GCATTGTATGCAGTTCCATCACTGCATACTATAGAAGAGCCAACTAGACTCTTTGGCAAAGGGGCGTCCTCTCGGTTCCTACGATAGATAAGGTGCTGAACGTTATTTATTTCAATTGTATTCGATATATATGAAATTTCGTTATCTATGAAGCATTTCTTCCATCTTAAAAGAATTTGATATCGTTCGTCGAAAAACTGTTGAATCTAAAATATGAATGAATTATATGAGAAATCAGCAGAAATGTCCATGACAACGTCAGCAACGCGGAAGGTTTAGGTTTTAGTCGCGTCACGGTATTCGTGTCTCTTCTAGAGCCGTGACAACGATAGATTTCCAATAGTGATGGACATCTATGGGAACCAGTTGTTCTTGTGGATGCCATAATATTATCGCTGCTCGATTTAATTCTGATTGATATGATATATAAGATAATTCATTGAAAAACAAGAGAATGCGTACATTCCGATCTAGATAAGGTTTTCTGCTATTTTTTGCTCAACATATTTTTTATCTGTAACATTTTTTCTTTAAAACGAATCAGAAAAATGAAAAATAATTTAATTTATTTTCTAGCCAACAACAAATAACGAACGAACTCATCGAAAAGCTTCTGATCCACCAAGTGAACGTGAAATAATGATAAAACAATATTATTCACAAAAAATCCTCGATTTAGAAACAAAATTACAATTAGTAAATGGCAAAGGAATTGCTTTTTATAATGAAGTATTTTAATAATTTTATTTATTAATTTTTTTCTAATTAATTTTTTATTTCTTGTTATATAATTAGTTAGCAAATATCCATCAACGTTTAAGACATTCCAAAGATCAAGAAGCTAAATGTCGAATTGAAATAGAACAGTCACAACAAGAATTAACAAAAATGAAGGTTTATTGATTTTTATTTCAAAAGAACATCTTATAATTATTTTATTAATTTAGGATGAATTAGCAACAACAACTAAAGGCTATGAAGAGCAAATAGCGACAATGTCTGAACATTTAGCATCGATGAATGAACAGATGACATCACAGAATGATAAAATTGATAAACTTCAACAACAATTACACACTAATCCAAAAGTAATTATTGCAAGTTTTTTTTTGTTGTTGTTATTATTCTAATAATTTCTTCTATATTTGATAAATAGGATGGAAAAAAAGGCAGAAAATGAAATGAATCTTTGTTGTCATTCTATGGCAATAAAAACGCAAAATCATGATGATAGTCAGTTTTATATATTGATTTATTTATGTTTGATTCTTCTATTGTGCTTTTAAAAATTTATTAATTCAATTTTTCGAGTGTTAATGTCTTTTTTTTTCCATTTGTATTTTGATAATCTTTATTGATATATGTAATAGATTGTATGTGTCTTTTCGACAATATATTTAAAGAAAAAAGAAGTCATTCATGTCTTCATGATAGGTGAGGTATGATGATAAAAAAGAAAGAAAAGCCATATTAAGTCGAAAGTTATTTGTTTGCGTAACAAATGAAAACGATCATTGAAGTCTTTGTACCATTCAGGATCATCACTGGTGTGTGTAAGATAATCTGTATATAGCTGGCAATTGAAAATAATCATGACTATTTCATTATCAAGCTAATGTGAACTTCGTATGATTGAACATATGTATGTTTTCTTCTTAGTTATATTTGGATGAGACTCCCCCCCTATCAGGAATAATCTTTCAAACTATGAAACTATTATCTGATTATCAGTATCGTAAGTAGTATTTGTATGTGTCAATATCTTTTTTGTTATCTTTGCATGTTCATTTTTGTCAATATATCTAGTTATTGCATTAACAACTTTTAAATGATGATCTAGAGAATTATTTAAGATAACAGTTCGATAACTTTGAAGAATAACATATATACTATGAATAAACAATTTTAATGTTTTAGAAAGTCAAGTTTATTTTTTTCTTTCTTTTATCTACAATGTGTATTGAATCTTTTTATGCGTTGTTTTTCGCTCAATTATTTCTCAATGTCTAATTGCAAAATTATCGTCTCAGTTTCATATCGTCTTATCTTTCACTTCATTAGCTCTTTTCCGTTGATTTATCTACTATTTCTCAAGTCTGACGCAAATCTCTTACATTAAGACACGTTACCTTTCTCAATCTGCTTAATAATATTCATTTTTATGATGTATTCTAAAATTCAAGATAGTTGATCGATACACAATTTCAGGTAATAAAAAAGATATATGTCGTCATATTGATGCATTTTTATTTCCTTTTAATCAGTAAATTCAAATCAAGAATAAATTATACATCGACTTATATTTTATTGAAAAAGAACGAAGAAAAAAAAACAAACATAGCTAATTTCTATAAGTTTTCAGCTTGGCTTTTTTTTTATAAGAGAATTTAATATGTTAGATATCATAATGAAGAGTTTCAATTGAGATAATTTGCTAGTTTTTAATTGTTTTAGAGATGAGCAAGAAAAGAACTTTTTACGAGTTTACGTTCAAAATATGGAATGGCATCATGTAAATTAATGAATCAGGTGTACTTTACCATTCTGAATGAGATACTTTAGATATCTACTCACGAGAGAAGTTCTTCAACTGTTTAATCGCTTTCAAGTCAAGAATATGTTCATTATGTAACGGATTCGAATGAACTCTGAATATCCTGGAAAGAGTTCGTATCCTTAGCGTTCACATATATTTTTGGAGGAAACTAGTGAGTGCAAATTTTAGGCGTAATTTTTTTGTCCTCATCTTCCGATTACAGATCTCAAGAACTGAAGGTAAAAGGCATCAAACGTCTTTTTGAGAGCACCTTAGCAACGGAAAAAAGACACTGAGCAGCACTAATGACAAAGTTTAGATTGTTCTTGAGCATTCTAGAATATTCTAAAATTTTCTTTGAAATTGCAATGACTGGAATACATTTGTGAATGTTTTAAATAGTGCAGCTTTTTATTTTTGCATAGATAATAGTTTATATTTAAGATGTCAAGGGTGATGATTAGTCATGCATTGATTTGCCACTCTCGTCCTATGATCAACACAAAAAGCGTGAATTGATCAAGTTATAACTTTAGAGAATAATCAATTTCAGTGTTTCTGGGCGATTAATATTCTGGGAAAATAACAACAATTGTTTGCTAGAGATTTTTCACGTTACGTATATTGTATTAGTATAATGAGACTAAAGGACATATGTGAGTTCCACATTTCATTTCTAAAGAGATTGCACTGATAAGTTTTTGTAAATAAATGTGTAGTTTCTCTCAGAAAACTTATTTTTTAAATTTCAACCTTAGACTTTGTCTAGAGACAAGACTTAACGAGAGTAGTTTGTCATGAAAGTTTCAAATCTATTGATTTGTTTCTCACCTTAAATAAGAACATCAAATCTGCTCGTTTATATTAGTGCTGTATAGGATATGCTATTATCATAGTTGTATATTAGGATCGGAACAGTGGCAAGACCTAAAACATTCACAAAAACTATTCTCATTAAGTCATGTTTCTGCGTAAAGTTTCGAGTCGAAATTTGAAAATCATTTTTTTTGGAATTCCAAAGAGAACCGCAATATTTATTTTAAAAATACTATAAAAGTACAGTATCTCTGCGTAACAATAATCTTAGGAAAGGATATATTCCCAGAATATTTATAGCTCATTTGGATCTACATCATGCACATAATCTCAACTCAAAAGCAATTGAATACTTGGAGAACTTTCTTCGTTAGACACTATTTTTCAATACGAAGAATTGTATACTGTGACTTCTTAATAGAGAGATTAATTTTTTTTTCTGTTTAATAAAATAATATCTCGATTTGTTTTCATTCCCTAGTCTGTGTCTTGTTAAAATAGATTTCAAGAAAATTCATTTTATCACTTATTAAAATACACACAAGATAATGTCAAACAATAAAAATTGCGGTTCTCTTTGGAATTCCAAAAAAAATGATTTTCAAATTTCGACTCGAAACTTTACGCAGAAACATGACTTAATNACGAGAGTAGTTTGTCATGAAAGTTTCAAATCTATTGATTTGCTTCTCACCTGAAATAAGAACATCAAATCTGCTCGTTTATATTAGTGCTGTATGAGATATGCTATTATCATAGTTGTATATTAGGATCGGAATAGTAGCAAGACCTAAAACACTCACAAAAACTATTCTGATTAAGTCATGTTTCTGCGTAAAGTTTCGAGTCGAAATTTGAAAATCAGTTTTTTTGGAATTCCAAAGAGAACCGCAATATTTATTTTAAAAATACTATAAAAGTGCAGTATCTCTGCGTAACAATAATCTTAGGAAAGGATATATTCCCAGAATATTTATAGCTCATTTGGATCTACATCATGCACATAATCTCAACTCAAAAGCAATTGAATACTTGGAGAACTTTCTTCGTTAGACACTATTTTTCAATACGAAGAATTGTATACTGTGACTTCTTAATAGAGAGATTCATTTTTTTTTCTATGTTTAATAAAATAATATCTCGGTTTGTTTTCATTCCCTAGTCTGTGTCTTGTTAAAATAAATTTCAAGAAAATTCATTTTATCACTTATTAAAATACACACAAGATAATGTCAAACAATAAAACGTCATGTGTGCCATGGTTTTTCGTCGTAAATATATTGACTAATATCATAGCCAATTGTCAAATATTACTCGGACTTATTTTTATATTAACTATAATATGCAATCGAACATGTCAATCAGTATCGAATTATCTTGCTGGTAACATAGCTTTTTCAATAACATTTTATGCAATTACTGTACTTTCAATTTCAATTCGCATTTTGTAAGTTTTATCTATTGAGAATTCAAAATTTCTTCTAAAAACTAGTTGTTTGTCACTATAAGCCGAATAAAACATTTTTTTAAATTTAATTTAATAGACTGAAAAGATGAATTATTGCAATTTGTTATAATTTTTTTTAGTCAATGTGATAATCATCCTGATCAGTGCACCAACGACAGTTCATATTTTTTTCTGTATTACATGAATGATGTTGCGTCTACAGCTGTCATTTATTCTTTCACTGGACAATCAATACATCATCTGCTTGCTGCAATATTTGCACATAATATTCGTCTTCAAAGATATCAAGTACGATTAATTCTTTGTATTATTCAATGGATTGTAGCTTTTCTTTTTCCATTCTATTATATTTATTTAAATCCTCAACTTAAATACGATCCAGTTAGTTATGTATGGATTATCTCAGAAAATTTGAGTCCTTTATTAACTGTATATATACTATTGATTGGATTTATTATACCAGTCATAATTATCATAAGTGTTTATATAAAATTAACTTTATTCATTGCAAAATTACGAAGATCTATCGCTCTGACAGAAATATCATCAACATTTTCAAACAAACATGAATTACAGATGTCTAAATATATTATTTTATTTTTGACTATAGCTGCATTAAGTTTATTACCAGAAACAGTCTTTCAAAGTATGAAACCACCACTACATTATCGATATCGTATTTATTATTTGACCGAAAGCATAACTACATTGTGCTGTCTTCTTTGTCTGTTTACTTGTACAGCACTCGTCAGACAACGATTGAATCGATGGAGAAAGAAAATTAAATTGACGTTCGAAAATCGAATACGACAATCAACTAATCTTCAAGGAAATCGCTACTGATTTCATAAATATGTATATTAGTTTTTTTCTAACATTGTTTTTATTATATCATATATATTGTCAAAATATAAATATGTACTAATTTTACCTTCTAATAAAATCTATATATTTTTCACTAATCTGCTAACTTTTTTAAATCATAAACATAGCATGGAAAAGAATTTCTTTTACTATTTTTGCTCGAACAATGAGAAAAAGATTAATAATCTTTTAACTAAAGCAGTGACGAATTTAGCAGCCTGATAGTTACTACTTCATTGTAAAAAAAAAGTAATAAAAAACTCTTTTAGATAGCCGTTCTAAAAACAATTGCAGAAAAAAAGTAAAATTTTGAAATTATGAAAGAAACCAAAAAAAGTCAGTCGTGTTTGTTGAGATGTAATTTCAATGTTTAGCTAAGTTCTTAAGTAAATAACAGCTACAGATTGCAAATAGAACCCTCTATTATTATTTCTATTACTTGTTGATTACTTCAAAAATAAATAAAAATTTGAAGTACTAAAAATGAAACACAACCGAAACTTCGATTTAAACAAAGAGAATGTAACTGTCAGTCTAGATGTTTTGAATGTTTTATAAGAAATATGCGGTCTGTTCACTAAATATTCTATGAAAAACTCTAAACATATATTGAAGAAATAAGAATATTTTATTTCTACGACTACTTTGTTTAATGATGATTCAGCTGTATTTTAAGACTAGAATATATACATAGATATTTAAAGTTTTCAAAAAAAAAAAAGAAGCACAATGAGAGAACAAAATATCAGAAACAAGATGTAATTGATTAGTTATGATGTGTATTTATCGAGATTTAGATACAAAGTTACTTCTATGATTAATGAATTATCTTCATCTACTCATCATTTAGATCTGCGAGTTTCGTTACTCATTATTTCACTTAAATAAAAGTTATCTGTTCATAATGCTGTAGATTTTTTAAATAAATATAGTATAGTTAATCGTAGGTACAACAGCATACCAATTAACTTTAGAGTCTATCCGGTTCAAAATTTTCGAATCCGGACGCGACGGAGTCTAGTTAACTACTTTCGAACAACAAACTCCCATTATCTCGGAAAGTATTATTTAGAATCCATCGTCTGTTCGTTGCAATCCTGGATCCACCACTGAAATAAAAGATTTTTGTTATAACCTTGTGAATAAATCAAAATTCTAAAAAGAAAATCAATTAAATTTCTTAGACAATTTTCTTTTACGGGTAAATCTAATTTCGTTTTGATGAACTTTACGAAGCAATCATCATTGAAATTCATTTGTCTTGTCATCGAATTAAAGTACACTCTATGTGAATAAGAAGACAAGCCATATTTCAATAATTTAACTTTTAAAACTATTTTGTGATAAACATTACAATGTTAATCATTGCTGTATACTTATGATTAACTTTCTTTTTCAAATACAACATGCGAACGAGTCATAGATGATATAAAATTTTAGCTAAGAAGTTCAGTTTGTTTTTAACTAATTTTCAGAAAATGACGATATGTCATGAATATATCATTATAATTAGAATACCGGAAACTATAATTGAAGATATTTTTTTTAATTATTTTTATTTCATATATTATTAAAAAAACATGAACTTAGTTTCCCGATCATAGTAGGCTACGCAAATAAAAAAAACAAAATCAATGCACCGGTTTATATTACAAACTGTTGTATATATTTCTGAAATTTCTATCATTTATTTTTCTGATTAATGTCAAGTTTGTCAGTATCAGGTATTGGTCTAGGTAACCATGATTTTTGTTCTTGAACTGCACGTCGAATAAATTCATATCGGTCATTAACTAAACGATAACGTTTCATAAAATAAGTTTCTAACCATTCAATAGCAACTTGTGCTGAAAATACTTCATCCATTGATTTTTTAAAAGAATCAATAAAATTATTTAATAAAGTGATAACTGGTGTTAGTTTTTCTAAACATTCTTCACCACGTTTAACATGAATATAATTATATTTAACATGAAGATCAGTCACATATTTCTTAACAAATAATTCAGCTTGTTCAACTTGATTCCATATATCCGACAAAGAAATCATTGATTCATAAATACCAGCACCTGGAAATTTACATCTAAATAAATTCAATGGATTTAAATAAATAACAACAACGAAAATAAAATCTAAATTTACTTTGGCATTGGTTTAATTGAATGCTCCTGAATATTTAAATGAATGTGTGATGAACATTGAAGTTCTTTTTCAACATATTCTTGTAATTGTTTATTTAAAAAGATATCAGTTTTAGGAAGACTTTTAAATGGTTCTTTCCAAGCAGCTAATGAAAAAGCCATGGATGGAATTGAATATGGTAATAGTTCACATAATGAAAGAAAATGATCATAACGCGACCAACCAGTTAAGATAATTCCATCGAAGTTTTTCCATTTTATTGGAATATATGAATTTAATTGTTGAATCCATGATACTTGATCTAAATTAATTTCAAAATTCAAATAAAATATTAAAACAGTACTTTGTTTATTGTCTTACTTTCATAATAATGTTTAACATCACTAATAGTTGCAACTTCATCTGTTGCACCTTTAAATGCTGAAGCTCCCCACAAACTTTTATATTGTCCAAAAAGAGTTGATTGTGGACCAACAACAAATCCTTCAACACTAACATCTTCTCTATATGACCATAAAACAGGAATAATTGTATCCATTAATTTATATTTTTGTAACATAACACTATTTAAATTTTGTAAAACATCATGCCATACAAATAATGATATATTAGGATTTTTTTCTCGAATATAATTAGTAATTATACTAAGATGATATGCAAATAAATCATGTTGAGTTTGAACACCAGTCAAACGTTGAAATTCTTGACATGCTGAATTTGTTAAAAAATAATAAACTTCATCATGACCAATATGTAATAAACGCATATTTGGATGTAAATTTAAATATTGATCAATCATAGCAAATAATATTGAATAGGTTTTATTTACACAAGGAGTTATCACTTGAGGATATTTGGGGTTTTCACGTAAATCACTAAATTCTTTCAATTTTAATAAAAATTCTAAATGGCCTATTATAAAAGAAAAAAAAAAGAAAGAAATTTCATATTTTCAATTTTTATTACATCGTAAAAGAATATTCCTAATAAACGAATATTGTTTACTTTCTTATAGACATAAAGTATTGATCTTGCAGGGGCTTTTTAATAGGCTTTTGGAATTTTTTGCTAACGGATTTATGAAATAACGTCTCAGATTCAACAAACAGATAGTAATATCAATCACAATTCAATAATTGATTTTAAATAACCTTTTTAACAATCACTCAGTTCAAAAAATCAGATGGTAAGATCATACAAGATCGTAGAAATATGATCTTGGAAGAATCGTATGTCAAGACTTGATGTAAGTTTTGCAGACAACACAATTTTTCGTACGATTTCCGTCTGATTTTTTATCTGAGCTGGGAATATTTTTTACAAAAGTTGTACAGTTTGATCAGATCTTGTTTGATTTTTTGATAAGGTCATATGAAATCATATAGAACAGTCAAATTTCATAAAAATCTTATGGTAAATTTTTGATGTAACTTTTTGTCTGATTGTTTGATTCACGTTGACTTAATGTTCAATTAGTTTTCTTAGTATGTTAAATAATGTTGCGAACATCTTCTGATAGGATTATTACAATTGGATATTAATTTCAATTTTAGGAATTATGAAAAACTTCTTTTTAATAGAATTTATTCGTCTCAAAAAGTTGGATAATTTCTAATAAAATAATTTTCATGAAAGCAGCGCAATTTATATTAAAGAACGATTAATTTGAACTATTGAATTTGCATTGTTACGTACCTAGTTTTGATAAACTATGTTTAGTACTTTATTGATCTGTGCTTTAAATTTTCTTCATTTTTGCAGTGCGAAATTATCTTTGTTTTCGAAAGACCAATCATCTGAACATTTATGAAAGATTTTCATTCCTTAATATTAAACAAATTTTTATTAAAAATTTAGTCAATTTCATGGTCTAGAATGCTTTTATCTATATGCAAGTAGCTCGACAACGAATTTCAACTTCAATACAATTTTCGAAACCTAAAAAAAGAAGAGAATTGTTTTTCTAAATCAACAGCGAATATTATGTCAATATGTCCTTGAAACTTTCTCTTTCATACAGATATAATCTAACGGAAAAGATAAATAGATGTGTCAAGTTCTCATTAATAAGTTCATTGACACTCATAACACAAAATACTTCTATCGTTAATATATGAAATATTTATATTAAGTTCTAATTGAAAAAGTATCTTTATATTGAAAAAAAAAAACAAGACTCACCATAAGTTTGTAATAGTGGCATAACATCTAAATGATTATCTTTTGCTAATTTATTAATTTTTTCAATATCATTTTTTGTATAAGCTTGTTTATGTCTTATATTGCTAACAATACCTTCAAATGGAAACATATCTTCATATTCCATACATATTCCATTAGCACCCCATTTATGTAATAATGGAAAAAGTTGTTCAAAATAGGATATTTTAGGTGCCGCACCTTTTAAATCAAAATGAACATAAACTGATATTGGTCTATCAGCTATTTTAGTTGGTTTCGATGTTAATGAATTATTTTCTTGAAGTAAGTCACGTCTTTCGAGTATTGAAGTATGTGCAATTGGTTCAGTATTTGCATTAAGTAATTCCTATAAAGAAAATTTATGTTACATTCATGTCATTTTTTAATCTTACTCGACGCACGGCATTATGAGTTTCTTTATGATTATGTTCATGTTTAATTTCATAATTTTTTAATAACTGATCTCGAACCGGTATAAATTGACGACTATCAGTTTTATAGAGATATTTTATAAAGCTATTGATAACAAATATAGATGTTGAAAGAAGAATTAAAATAAAAAATGTTCTTGATAAAAATGTATTACACCGCCGCATAAGAAACATTATAAATAATTATTTGTCGTCATATATATTTTTTATCGAAATATAAACTTCTATTACAACCTAAACCATTTATCTACAATAAGAAAAAAACCTTTTTTTGATCACGTTAAAACCTGAAAATCGATATTCGAACAATTCAATTTCTATTCGTTTAAGAATAAACGTGTTTCATTCGTAAATAATTTCATCTTTGGTAAATCTAAATCAAACAAAAGAACATATGATTATGTTCTTTTTTTTGTTAATAATGAATATTTTTACTAATTTATTCTTTTTATTCATTCATTTCAACAAACACAATACAAAAATTGTAAAAATAAAGTTTTTTAATAAGTTGACAGAAAATGAGAATTTCTTCTCTTATATTTATTTAATCATTCTTAATTCAAACTCTACATCAGTTACCCAATCAAACACGAAAACTTTTTAAAAAAGTATGTGTTTGTAGGAAAATTTCTATAACTCGTATTTACATGTAAAGTACTTTTTAACTCGTCATACTTTACGCATGAACTTACAAACTATTTCGAATATTTGCACTTGGGGCGCATAAATGTGAGACAATATTACATTCATTTTGATGTGCATGTCACAAACACATGCATATATATACAATGATATACATTTCTAACCAAAACATGTGACACCATGCACGACTCTTATCCTTGTAAGTAGTTTCATGTCACATTCTTACAAATTTATGCAAGATATGTGACTCGCATATAAATGCTAAAGTATTATTGGCGTGTACCTGCAAGATGGTTAGAATATTGCATGTCAATACAACAAGGTCGTGTTTATGAAAACTACTACCGAAGCAATTTTACGTTGAGATGAAAATCTCAGCCATTTTGTAATATTGATGTTGCTTTATGCAATCATTTAGTTTTTTTTTTCTTCGACATATATTTCTTTATGTCTCGTTAAGATGAAATCGCTGTCATATATCCATACATTATTGGCTCACAAAATCCTATTCAATTTTTCGAACCCGCCAACGATCATTAGTGCACATGCTTGCACATGCTTCGTAGTTATTTGATTAGCATTGTATAATTCAGTTTCGATTACAATTCTAATATAAGTAGATTGGTCGATTGGTAAATAAGCTCGTTTTACAAAGTAAAGTATGTATGCTTGAATTTTATCTCTGGAAAGAAATCTAATGCGCTGATGTATATTTACTGCATGTGCTTCGTTTTCTTTCGTTATTCAAAAATAGACTTACACGTATCGACGTAGATTCTTTGCAATAGTATTCATATGGTGTCGTATGCAACAACAATGTCAAACGTGGACATTTGCAATTTCATGCATTGTAAACGCAAATATAGTCTACTCTTTGATAGATATTCCCGTATGCCATATCATAACGATTCATGCATGTACGCATAACAGTGCTGCGTGTACACGCATTTTTATAAACCTTCATGTCCGACTGAATAATCCGATACCAGTGAATTTTGAAAAAAAAAAAAAAAAAAAACTTACCATGAGTTAAATTAAATTTATAGTGGATCAAGAAATAAAATAAAGAAAAGATCGTAAACGCACATGTTTGCTTCATTAGTATGTCTGAGAAGTATTTGTAAAAAGTTGATGGTTACTTTTTTTTTTTTTCAATCCTACATACTCCTCTTTAAAACATCGACTGTAATGTCAGCTGCTGTTTTTCTCTTCTTCACACGAAATTCTCCTCATGATCGAAAGCTAAACCATATTTACCGTTCTTCTCTCTTTCCGCTCCACTTTTTCTTTATGGCAAAGTATTGTGCGTGTTTAAAAAATCGAACACATCAATTTATACGTCAATTCTTTTATGAGTATGACGCGTTCGGTGACATATGCTATTTTTGTTGATTTTGTGCCACAAAACTATTAGTGTTATTCACTTCAAAGAAGAAATATGAAATAATTATAGAATTGTACCTAGAAAATTTACCTCAATGTATTGTTGAAACGAAATAAAATACGCATTCTATGACTTATTAAACAAGAGAACAAAGAACTGACTTTCATTAATGCATCATATATCGATTTTCTCTTTCTCTCGTTTCAACGTTACTACATTCGCTGACATGATTATTGTATAGAGTTGTCTATTGTTAGTGCTTGAGTCGATTGAAATTTAATGAGTTCTCTTTTTTTACCGTTCGTTTTACGTACGTATGAACAAAGAAAAAGAAACAACAAGAAAAAAGAAACATTAAAAGAATAGGCAAAGAGTTCGATGTCGTGTAACGTTTGCACCTCTTTAGAAATGTTGATCGTTGAGCAACAAATTAGCTTTTTTTCTTTTTCTTCCTTTCTTTTTTTCGACTACTTTGATTTTAAATTCTCGTTGAAATGTGTCCTTTCTTCAATATACTTTCGAAAGTATTTTTAAATATGCTCTTAAAGTAATGGCATCAATTTCTGAAGAAAGGATAAAGGAGAAAAAAAAGAAAGACAAAATAATGTGTTCGAGTCAAATTGTTATATCAGTTTCGCTCGTGGGTACCATATTACCAAAAAAGCAAAATGATATATATATATATACATAACAATTATAGTATTTTTTTAATGTTCCAAGAGACAAAAGGAAGACAAAATTACTATTACATCATTGAAAGTTACATATAAAATGCCTTGTCAATTCTATTCACTATTTCTGATAAGTCCTGAAATCTAATATTGCAATAGGATTCATCTAATAAACATTTTCAATTTTTCTTGTGTGATCAGTAGATCTAATATCGTGACAGACAATAAAATACAGAAATAACTCTAGTTATCAAGACAATAATTGACATTTTTACAGGTCGTTCCTGATAAACTCTATTACTTCTTCAAGGTCTTAATCAAATATAACCAATGAGTTTCTATTTATTTGACATAAAAATTTGAAGAAGAAAAAGAACACTTCATTCAATACATTTCAAACAATAGAAGACTACAATAAAAAAAGTATCCTATGAAGAACTAAACAGACCTTTAAAGAAATCAGTTTTATGTCTGCATATTTCTTCGGTTGTAGTTAAGAAAACAAGTCAGCTGCTATTTTCAATTACTATAAAAGATGAAATATACAAGATTTTTTAATTATCCAATAAAGGAAATTCATAAATCACAATGTGTTGTTTCAATAAAATAATTTTGTAACAAAAATTCATTATTGAATTTTTCTAATCAGTAAATGTTCATACTACTTATGATAATCAGTTGACATTCAAGTATTTCGATCAAGTATCATTGAAATAATGCCGACTGTACTTGATTAATTCCTTTAGAAACAATTGAATTTTTCTATCTTTTGTTTCTCAAGAAGATTGATTAATTTATGCCTTCCAGCCAACAATTATCATTCATATTTTTTTCAAATTTATTTCTCAGTGATTTTTTTTATCGATTGATATTATGTAAAATAATCAACAGCATTATGTCCGTTCTGATAATTATTAATCATCTACATCAAATAACCTTTCTATCAGTCAGAATTGGAATAATTGATAATGATTTTATAGTATGAATCTGCATTGTTAAAATAATACTAATCGAACAGCAAACGATAACAATAATAATTTATGGTTCTCATAAATACAATATCCAGAAAATAGTGATTATTATTCACAATAATATAGACACGAATATGGATACAGACCTAAAGGAATTATGGCTGATATTATGAGCTATATAATAATCGAAAACAAGTTGAATTCCAATGCGATGAGTTATTGTAGAGCAACAAGTATGAATACAACCAATTAACACAATCATATCACAACATTCTGAACAAAAGACCTTCTAATGGATCTTTTAAGGCTCTAAATTTCGGTAATAGGTTTTCAACATTTTAAAGTTCTAGTCAACAAGCCTAGAACTTCAAAGCGTTTTAGTCGGAAAGTGTGAAACTTATAAAAAAAAGGCTTTCTAAAACAATTAGTGCCGAAATCTAGAACTCTGAAAGGTTCAGTATGACATTTTATTTTCTTCAAAGAATAAAAAATATTTTTGTGAAATAATAAAAAATTTTGGACCACATTATATTTTAGTGGATATGAACATCCTGATGAATTTAATTCATACAATTGTTTTCATACAACCAATTATTCTCGATTGTCTTTGACAAATCGTGTATGGAATATTCATATACATGGTTTATATAGGAGGAACTCTCAAATTCGAATATTTATATTCTAATCTTCAATTTATTTTATTATTAAATGACAAATAGTGCCGATGATAAAGCATTAAATTTACTTGAAGTTTATTGAGAAAAATTTTGTTAAAAACTTCTTATTATTATTTTTGTCTATGTTTATTCAAAGAGAACAAAAGTTCATGTTCTATAAACTTCTGCTATAATTTTCCAACTCGTTGGTAACGACAACTATATATAGCATAAGAAGAAAGCTAAAGCACTAGAATCTATTCGAATGAAGAAGAATAAGAAAAAAATGCTTGGTGAGAATAGTGGTGGCAGTCGCGTCCGATTGATGGTGGTGCATTATTTTTTTCTTTTTCACATAATTTCCTTTCTTTCTAGCATGAAGAATCATAGCCCATTATCCCGCATTTTTAGTTTTTGCTCGATATTTTTGCTGATATCGGCAGAGAAATCACCAAATACATTAGATATTCTTATGCCTGATGCGGTTGCTACTCATGTGAGCATTTTTTGATATTAATTGAGCATAAAATTGTATTATTTCGTTAGGTTGACGATTATTTATGCGCATCATTTAAAATGGATCAAGACAAACCAACTTATATAAGTTAGTATTTAAAAAAAAGGGTGATGACAAATTTGTATTTCTTTTGATTTTTAGCTGCTTTCAATCCGGCAGCAACATCAAAAGATGCTCATCATATTTTGCTTTTTGGATGTACAGAACCAGGTAGTCATCAAAAGATTTGGTAAGATCTAGAATAAAATTGATAGTAGAAAAAAGTTTGTTTCATTTTTAGGAATTGTGGTGAAATGGCCATTTCAGATGGTCATTCTGTAAAAAGTTATGAATATGCACCAACATGTGCTTCGGGTTCAACTATTATTTATGCTTGGGCTTTAGATGCTGACAAAACTGAATTACCAGAAGGTTAAATTTTAAAAAAAATAAAATTCAATTTTAAAATAAATAAATTTTTTCTTTGTAGACGTTGCTTTTAAAGTTGGTGGTTCAACATCTATAAAATATCTCGTATTACAAGTTCATTATGCTAATCTAGACAAGTTCAAAGGTAATTGATTTAATGATAATTAAATTAGTAATAACATATATTGTTTTAGCTGGTGGAACTGATCGTTCAGGTTTAATTCTCACAAAATCACCTGTACCGTAAGTACAATTTTGTTTTAAGGAAGATTAGTCATTTATAGCTTCTCTAAATTTACGACACTAGTTTTGAGAGATTGAAGGAGTGTTTTTATATTTCTGCTTAATTTATACTTTAATAAAGATTGCCAAAGAGAGCCGGTGTAATGCTATTAGAAACTGATGGTGCCATTGCACCTTATTCACTTGGTAATTTATTTGTGTTATTAGTTTTCTAGTTCTTGTTGTTGTACTCATGCTATGCTTTCGTATATGTTTTTTATTATTTGCATTTGCTTGTTGTATTTATGTGCAGTACATCTAAACGCGCTGCTGTTCTTCTCCTTCTGACCGGTGGTCGCATTGAAGCGAATACCGAAGGTGAGTTCACATCTTTTCCATTGTGCACATAAAAATTTATTTCTTTTTCTATTTTACTAAGAAATATTCTTCTTTTTTTTAGAAGCATTTGAAGTAGCTTGTGGAATTGAACAAGATATTGTGATGCATCCATTTGCTTTTCGTACTCACGCTCATAAACTTGGTAAGTTTTTCTTTTGTTTTTTGATAATAAAATATTATTAATTATTTAAATAAAGGTCTTGTGAATTCTGGATATCGAGTACGTGGTGAAGGTGATGATCAAGAATGGACAGAAATTGGTCGACGATCACCTCAATTACCACAAATGTTTTATCCAACTCAAAGTGATGTTACAATTAAACAAGGCGATCGTGTTGCTGCAGCTTGTACAATGTTTAATTATCAATCACATGCTGTTAAAATTGGGTATGAACAGATTTATTACTTATCTTCAAACTATTCTTTTTTTGTTATAATTTAGTGCAACCGGAAACGATGAAATGTGCAATTTTTATATGATGTATTGGGTTGATGGTGATGAGATATTAGAAAATGATGTTTGTACAAGTCCCGGACCTCCACAATATTATTTTGGATATGATCGAGTATGTTTATTCTATTGTTTATATTTTTATTTTATTTTTATTTTAATTATTTAGCATGTAAATGTGGATAAAATTCCTGAAAATGCATTCCGTATTCCACCACCACCCAATGGTCCAGCTCCTGGTGAACCTTTACAAGGTGGTCATCATCACATGACAACGCAACATAAAGCAAATCCACGTAAACGACAAAATCGTTTTAATTATGTTTTTTAGAATGAGAAAAAAAATATTATATTTTATTTTTAAATATCACTCATTCTATTGATCTAATATTGAAATAATAATAAAGATTATAAATTTACAGTGCAATAAAAAAAAATGAATGCTTATATATATGAAACTGATCAATAAATTGAACTAACTGTTTTGTGTGACACGGAGAAAAATGTTTTTATTTGTGCAAGATAGAAACTAACGTGTGATAGTAACAGGTGACTTTTAAATGATAAATATATCCATACTGCATGTGAAAAGTAACAGTTGTTCGTCTTTTTTTAGTTTTACAGACAAACATTATATTAAGATATATGAATTCTGTAGTTGAATGGAATTTTATGATTATTTAGTGAAAATTAGAATAATAATTGTTTTTCTTATCAGTGAGAAATTTATTAAATAAAGTGGCAGCTTTCACAGATTTATTTTGCTCTCATGCTACTAAGTTTTTTTTCTCTTCGTTAAAACTTTGGAAGTTGACTCAATAATATTGCATTATCATTCAGACCTTATTAATAAGAAGATTCAGTATTTTATATGCATGTAATACTATTGATAATTGCAATCTAAAGTATAAAATAATAAATAAAGAAAAAGTATTAATTCCTTGAAACTTTTCCTTCAATGTTTAATTCATTTCTAACATCAATTTCCGAAATTTATAAGAATGTTGTTTGTGATCTTCTTCAAAGCAAACAAATCTAAAACTAACATTTTTTGTAAAACACGATCTAAAATGAGTGTTAGTATATGAGACTAAAACTTCGAACACTCCATTCTCTGCATAGATCATAACAGATAACCTAGTAACACTTCTTTCTATTATCTTAGCAACGACCGCTCTCCAATCACAAACCGTGAAAGAGAATTTAATGGCATCCCGTTTCACCACATATCCTGTGAGCAGCCTTAATACCGCCGCTTTCTTATCACGGACCATTATGCGTAGTCGCAAAAGCGAAATCCTTCATGTACTTATTATGAAATACGATTGAATATAAGGTGCTTGTCATTTGCCCACTTTTCTCATTCATTGTAACATGTGAGCGTTAATATTTTTCATTATCGATACAAATTAAATGCAGGTTGTAATTCAGAAACTGAAAACAATGTTCCTGAGCTCTGCAAGTCACAATGTAAATGGTGCAACCATGTTTCATTTTTTTTTATTCCATAGGGATTGTGCTAACAGCTTTACAGATCTTGTCAATTAATTTGTATTGCTTAGAGACTTGAATTATGTTGTGTTTGAACATAATTTTACTTTCAGCTCACACAATACATCTGATAATATTACGCCTACAACACTCGGTTAGAAAAGAAAAACATTTCGTGATAAAAAGTATATAATATTTACAATTAGTAACGAATTGAAATAATGCTAATAGAAATAACTCAATGACCAAAAAAAGCTTAACATGTATTGGGAATATTCGAATTATTGACAAACATTTTTAATAGATTATTTATTTTTACAGATCATGAAAGACAACAATGCAATAATAACATTCGATGCAAAAGTAATTGGACAGATGTTCGACCCTATTTCTCTTCGATAGAAAGCTACTGAAAGAAAACCTTTTTTTACCAAAAGATAGAGCTTTTTCTTCTCTTTCGAATCATATATAACTTCTTTCTATCTCACGTCTTTAAATGAAACGGCGCAACAGGAAAGAGGAGCACCCTCAAAACGAGTCAGCACCTTTTCTATGGTATGACCGTACAAAATGTCAATCCCTATATCTATTCGATAAATACATTCTAAAAGGAATATTTTATTATCATTTGATAGGAAATTTTCTCCTCTTTCGAACTGTGTAAGATTTATATTTGTTTCATATTCATAAATAAAATGACCTGAGTAAAAGAAGGATTGCTTGAGCAATAAATTTGCGATTTTTCTACAGACTCATCAAAAATATCTTGTGAGACAACAGTTGATTTTAATTAGCTGTGCTTTTACAAGATCTTTTTAATGAGTTCCCAAAAATCGAGTTAATTGTTGACTAGCAAGATATTTTTGACGAGTCTATAGGGAAATTACAAATTTATTGCTCAAGCAATCCTTCTTTTACTCAGGTCATTTTATTTATGAATATGAAACAAATATAAATCTTACACAGTTCGAAAGAGGAGAAAATTTTCTATCAAATGATAATAAAATATTCATTTTAGAGTATATTTATCAATGAGATATAGAGATCGACATTCCCTACCATTTTTTCGTATTTTACGAAAAGTGTGGAGTCGTTTTAAGGATGCTCCTCTTTTCTGTTGTGGTATTTCGTTTATATATGTGTGAGAAAAATAAGTTATGTATGATTCGAAAGAGGAGGAAAAGCTATGTAAGTAAAGTTAGCGACCGATTCGAATTTTTCTTGGGACGATTCGCACAGCTGAGTGTGCCAATATCGGAATATATTGTGCCAGATAGAGATCATCGAGCTCTATCTAATGGCATAATTATCTCCCCGCAAAAAATAAAGCGAAGAAAAAATCCATGCGAAAACAATATTTTTCACCATCGAACAAAATGAAAAAAATTAGTTTTCCTGGATATATTCGATTCAGAATGCGTGCCACTATTGAAAATTACTTCATCCAAAGCAGTTTGACGAGCTCTATCCACCTATCACAATTACATTTGATTTCGTAAGCATCAAAAACCACTTCAGCCTTTATCAATCTCCCAAAACCCGATTTTCACAGGTAACTCAGAGACCAATTTACTCTAGTACTTGTGTCACATCAGAAAACATTCGAAATCGACAAAACTCGATGATCTCTATCGATTGGTATGTATTTTAACAGTATCATGTGCTGAATGAAGCTGATAGCATATCCAGGATCTTGGATAGATCATATCAAGTAGAATCTTGCACTACGAAGCATTCTAACACAATGTAAGCCGAATAAAATCATATAAAACAACACGTCACCAAGAGTTTTGCTTACTGGTGCAGTTTTCTTCCAACTAATTGCCGATCCAATAATCTATAATACCAGAAACGTATCAGTTATGAAATCCGCACCAAATATCACATTCCCAATATCTTCATTTCCACCTGTACCACCTATGAAACATACCTCAATCGACTCCTCTCAATTAGATCTATCGTTTGGTCATAATACAACCCACCTGGTTCACGATCGAGAGGGCTGACGGCTCCATAACTAGATATTGAGGATCCCTATCTGGTTCTTGCTTGGATCAATTCAAGTTAGAGCATATGCCACCATTGAAACATACCTCAATCGATTACTCTTGAATAGATCTATCGATTGGTATATAATACAACCCACCTGGTTCAATATGCGGAGGGCTGGAGAATCTAGAATTAACCTTCGTAGATTTCTGTCTGGCTCTTCCTCGGATCAGCGCAACTCAGGACCTGTGCCATTGTTAGAATCTACATCAATCGGTTGCTCTCGAATAGATCTATCGATCGATTTAAAATAGAACCCAAATGGTTCAAGATGGAAACGGGTGAAGGATCTAGAATTAGACTACGGAGATTTCTGGTTGGTTCTTGCTTAGATCAAGTCAACTCAGACAATATGTCACCATTGAAGCATACTTCATTCAATTGCTCTCGAATAGATCTATCAGTTGATCTAAAATCGAATCCATCTGGTTCAAGATAAGAAACCGCTGAAGGATCTAGAATTAGACTTCTGAGATTTCTCGCTGTTTGTTGCTTGGATCAATTCAATTACGGAGATATGCCACCGTTGAAATATACCTCCATGGTTTACTCTTGAATAGATTTATCGACTGATATAAATCGCTAATGCCACACATTATCTATACCACATTTTCCAAGCCTATCAATTAGAACAGTTCACAAAAACCATTCTCTTAACAGTCATCGAACAAATAACCAACAAATGTATTATCCACTAATCGCCTTCCCGATTAAAACGCTTGCCAAATTCATTTATATCAATACCCTGAAGTATCTTTCCATAATGACATATCTCGTCAGGTGCAAAAACTTCGTCCAATTCCCAAAAACAAACCTTGGCAATTCGATTCTAGATCTTGCAGTCCTCCCCATCCTCAAACTGGTGAATCATCATATATATCATTCAATGGATCTGACGAAGAACAACTGATTAAGGCATGCTTGCGCCGTGACACATCTCGACAGCTGAACGGATCCAAGCAAGAAAACAGAGAAATTTACGAAGTCTAATTCTAGATTCTCCAGCCCTTCCAATCTTGAGCCACATGAGTTCTATTTCAGATCAATCGAGAGATCTATTTGAGAGCAATCGATTGCGATAAGTTTCAGTGGTGGAAAATGCTTGTAG